CACATTCACTCACTCACTCACATTCACTCACTCACTCACTCACTCACATTCACTCACTCACTCACATTCACTCACTCACTCACATTCACTCACTCACTCACTCACTCACATTCACTCACATTCACTCACTCACTCACTCACATTCACTCACTCACATTCACTCACTCACTCACATTCACTCACTCACTCACATTCACTCACTCACTCACTCACTCACATTCACTCACATTCACTCACTCACTCACTCACTCACATTCACTCACTCACATTCACTCACTCACTCACATTCACTCACTCACTCACATTCACTCACTCACTCATATTTACTCACTCACTCACATTCACTCACTCACATACTCACTCACTCACTCACTCACATTCACTCACATTCACTCACTCTCTCTCACACACTCACTCACTCATTCACTCATTCACTCACATTCACTCTCTCACTCACTCACTCACATTCACTCACTCACTCACATTCACTCACTCACTCACATTCACTCACATTCACTCACTCTCTCTCACACACTCACTCACTCACTCACTTTCTCTCACACACTCACTCACTCACTCACTCACTGACTCACATTCACTCACATTCACTCACTCACTCACTCACTCACTTACTCACTCACTCACATTCACTCACTCACATTCACTCACTCACTCACTCACATTCACTCACTCACATTCACTCACTCACTCACTCACATTCACTCGCATTCACTCACTCACATTCACTCACTCACTCACATTCACTCGCATTCACTCACTCACATTCACTCACTCACTCACATTCACTCACTCACATTCACTCACTCACTCACTCACTCATTCACTCACTCACTCACATTCACTTACTCACATTCACTCACTCACATTCACTCACATTCACTCACTCACTGACTCACTCACTCACTGACACTCACTCACATTCACTCACTCACTGACTGACTCACTCGCTCACTCACATTCACTCACTCACTCACTCACATTCACTCACTCACATTCACTCACTCACTCACATTCACTCACTCACTCACTCACTCACATTCACTCACTCACATTCACTCACTCACTCACATTCACTCACTCACTCACTCACTCACTCACTCACATTCACACACTCAATCACATTCACTCACTCACTCACTCACTCACTCACTCACTCACTCACTCACTCACTCACATTCACTCACTCACTCACATTCACTCACTCACTCACTCACATTCACTCACTCACATTCATTCACTCACTCACTCACTCACATTCACTCACTCACTCACATTCACTCACTCACTCACTCACATTCACTCACTCACATTCACTCACTCACTCTCATTCACTCACTCACTCACATTCACTCACTCACTCACATTCACTCACTCACTCACATTCACTCGCATTCACTCACTCACATTTACTCACTCACTCACATTCACTCACTCACATTCACTCACTCACTGACTCACTCACTCACTCATTCACTCACTCACTCACTCACATTCACTCACTCACATTCACTCACATTCACTCACTCACTCACTCACTCACTCACATTCACTCACTCACTGACTGACTCACTCGCTCACTCACATTCACTCACTCACTCGCTCACTCACATTCACTCACTCACATTCACTCACTCACTCACTCACTCACATTCACTCACTCACTCACTCACTCACTCACTCACTCACTCACTCACTCACTCACATTCACACACTCAATCACATTCACTCACTCACTCACTCACTCACTCAATTCAATTCAATTCAGCTTTATTGGCATGAATGTGTACAATAGCACAATATTGCCAAAGCAATAGACATATACAAACATATAGATAAATAAAAGTGAACAATAAAAAATAAAATAAAACAATTACTAAAATATCAAACAATCAAAATAATAATTATTTGAAAATTTGTACAATTATTTATCCATCTGAGGTTCCACTGGTTGTCCTCATTTCATGGCATGAGGAGACATATTTTGCAGCAATTATCTCACATTTGGGCATTTCTCCTAGTAAATATGGGATTTTCTGTGTGTCTGATATGGATTCGAATTCAGGGTATATTTGGGAAATGTTTGGGAAGTGTTTTTGTCTTAGTGTATTATATTTGGGGCATGAGGTTAGAAAGTGCAGCTCTGTCTCGACCTGTCCCCGGTCACACTGGGAGCAGAGTCTCTCCTCTTGTGGGAGCCAGCTCTGTCTGTGCCGACCCGTCTCTATGGCCAGGCTGTGTTCACTCAGTCTGTACGTTGTCAACATTTTTCTTAGTTTAGGGCATTTTATTGTACTCAGGTAATTTGCCAGTGTGAATTCTCTTTTTAGGGTCAGATAAAGTTGTAATTTACTTTGTGTTTTGGTCGTTTCTTTCCAGTATTCAAAATATTTATCTTTCTGCTTGTTGATAATTTGGTTTGGTCTTGAGTTGGCGTTGCTGTCCTGAGGCTGTTGGGGACTGGTTACTGCAGAGAGCCTCAGCACCAGCTGGCTGAGGGGACTCTGTTCTGCTTTCAGCTCCTGGTGTGTTAGGGCTTTGTGATGATATGTCTGGGGGTTAACTGATTTTAAGTGATTGTAAAATTTAATCGATCTTTTCTGTATCTTTAGTAAGAGGGGGTATTGGCCGAGCTCTGCTCTGCACAGGTTATTCGGGGTTTTTCTCTGCACCTGTAGGATGCTCTTACAGAACTCAGTATGGAAAGATTCTATAATTGTTTTGTCCCATTTGTCAAATTCATTATTAAGTTTTGGCCCCCAAATTTCACTACCATATAGAATTATTGGTTCTAGTACAAATTGGAAAATTTTAAGCCAGATTTCAATTGGAATATAGATTTTAATGTTTCTTTTTATTGCATAGAAAGCTCTCCTTGCTTTGTCCCTCAGATCTTTCACAGCCATGTTGAGGTTGCCTGTGTATGTAATGTCGAGGCCAAGGTAAGTGTAGTTTTTTGTGTGTTGTAATTTAGTGGTGTCCAAATAGAAATTGTGTGTAACCTGGTTTCTGTATTGTTTCTGAAAGATCATTATCTTAGTCTTTACTGTGTTGACTGTCAGGGCCCAGCTCTGGCAGAATCTCTGCAGGACGTTAAGGTGCTGCTGCAGACCTTCTTCAGTAGGTGAGAGTAACACTAAGTCATCTGCATACAGCAGACCTCTGATCTCAGTGTTGTTCAGGGTGAGGCCAGGTGCCGTGGAACTCTCTAATTGGGTTGCTAATTCATTGATGTATAGATTGAAGAGAATTGGACTGAGATTGCATCCCTGCCTCACTCCCCGGCCCTGGGAGAAGAACGCTGTTTGTTTGTTTCCAATCTTTATGGCACATTCACTTTTTGTATACATGTTCTTAATCAAATCATATGTTTTTCCTCCAATGCCACTATCAAGTAGTCTGTAGAAGAGGCCCTCGTGCCAGATGGAATCAAAGGCTTTTTGGAAGTCAACAAAACAGGCATATACCTTTCTTTTCTTAATGTTTAATTCTTGATCAATTAGAGTCTGGAGTGTAAATATATGGTCCGTTGTGCGGCAATTTGGCAAAAAACCAATTTGGCATTTATGCAGAATATTGTGGTCATCAAGGAATTTGACAAGTCGTTTATTAATGATGTTGCAGAATATTTTTCCCAGGTTACTGGATACACAATCACTCACTCACTCACTCTCACTCACTCTTACACACACACACACACTCACTCACTTAACTATTGTCACACACTCACACTCACTTAACTATTGTTCCCCAGGCCATGTAGCAATCAGTGTTAATGAGAAAATTGAGTTGGAACTAATGAGAGACACCCTTTGAGAAATCAAGATGACCTGACGTAGATGAACAAGAGGGTACAAAATTAACACTCACCAGGAGCCAAGGCTAGTAACAGTTGGCTTTGGGAAGAAGAAGAAAAACAGAACTACTGGCCACTGGACAATATGACTTTTAGAAATTGCAACTGAACAAAGAAATTCAGAACGGTAATTTTTAGAAACTAGAAAATGTTCTTCAAACATTTCAAAATGTCTTCCTTACGGATAGATGACTAGGTTGGAAGAACACTTAACTTTCCCAGAATGCAATACCAGAATGTAACGTCCGAACATATAGATGTAATGGCCAATCAAATGTGTTTAAATTAGTTTAGTTTATAGGCTTATCGGAAACAACGACCGATTTGTACACGTCTGATCTTTGGCACATCACCCAACACTCATAACAAGCTGTAGAAGAAAAGCAAAGAAACAATTAATAATGTAATTTGGAAACATACTTAAGACTGTTTTGAATGTGTTGCCCACAAGAATATGGCCCTATACCCAAAATAAGTAACTACAATATCAAGGCAAGTAATTGCCGATTCTTATGATAAATTGTTTCGTTTGAATAAATAATTAATTGGGACAAAACAGATTTATTGCAATGATTTACAGTATAACATGTACACTGGTCCAAAAGTTTGAGGTTGGAAAGATTTTTCTAATGTTTTTGAAAGAAGTCTGTCATGCTTAACAAAGCTGCATTTAGTACAGTAAAAATGGTGAAATATTATTTCAATTTAAAATAACTGGTAATTTATCCCTGTGATCAAAGCTGAATTTTCAGCATCATTACTCCAGTCTTCAGTGTCACATGATCCTTCAGAAATCACTCTAATATGATGATTTGATGCTCAAGACACATTTATGATTATTATCAATGTTGAAAAGAGTTCATATTTTTGATGAAACAGTAGGGGTGTGACGAGACGCTTATCTCACGAGACGAGACTAGACACGAGATTGAGTTCACGAGAACGAGACGAGACGAGATTTTTGCACAATTTTTCAGAAATCCTCAATGACTAAATTCATGACTGGAAAAATAGTATGCAGGTGCATTTTGCAATTTTTTAACTAATAATCTTCTAATGCATGTCATTTCAGGTCTACTTTATGAGTATGAATGATCAAATGCATTGAAAGAAAACAATATACAAGCACTGTAAAAGGTTTTTATTGACTGGCTTTTCTCCTGTTTGATTTCACATGAGTCTCTTCAGACCTTACTGTACATTTAAGAGCTTTCAGAACTTCTGATTGAGGCTGTGTGTGACCTAACTGAACTCATTGAAGTCTGAAGTGCAAACAATAAGTGCAAGTGCAACCATAATCAAAGTTAGCACACAGACTCTTTATAATTGTTTTGAAATTGCTGTTTTATTTTGCACCAGCAGTTATAGGGTTAATATGGCGAGTTCGGAAAAGGTAGAGAGAAACGAGGCTGGTGTGTTTGTCTCTATGTTGTTCTTGTGTTCCGATTATAAGTTCAGAAACAGAGCCTCCCATGTCTGTTGTCCTTAAGACATTACAGTACTCTCTAAATCAGGAGTCACCAACCCGTCGATCGCGATCGATAAGTCGATCTTGGAAGCATTTTAAGTCGATCGCGAAGAGTTTTCAAAATCAGAGAAAAAACACCAATATTTGTATTCATTATTATTTATTAATTAAAAATGCACCATGTGTGAGCCTACTGTGTGTAGTAAATGGTGTCTAGGGGATGCGGAGGCGCGCGCGCCGTTACAATGACGTCATTTTTGGCTCATGCGGACGCGTCGAGTATAAACAAGGCTTCACGCTTTAACCAGCTCAGCCACTTCACACTGCGCTCACATCGATATGCAAACTAACGAAACGATGGCACAACGGTGAGGGAGTAGGCTATTGCTAGTTTGAAATCTGCAGGGGTTTTCCTGCATAGACAATTATGAGGCGGCCGCCTCCGTCAAATTTATAGTTAAGAAACAATATAACGTTATAGACTACACACGACCAGAGTGCTGTTTTCCTGAATGCAAGCACGATTGAAACCAAGATATTGATTTCATAACAGTTCAATAAACAAATAGTTAAAATTAAGTTACTTACATTTTTAGACGTAATTACTGTTTTTGTTCTGTTTCAGCAGCGAAAATAGTTCCAGACAACAGAACCAGCGCATCTCACAGCTAGCAACACTCATCCATTATTCATTACTGAAGGATTCAGCGTTTTGACCTAATCGCTCGAGTCAAAGATTCAATTAACCTTACCCATTATTAAACCGCCTCATTCTGAATCAATCAGCCGTTTGAACGAATCGTTTGAATGAATGACTCAATGACTCGCTCATTAAGACGGCCGCCTGCCGCTTCTACTGGCGGTTTAGTTTCAAAGTATCATTCTTTTCAACATTCCTTATTTGTATATTCAAAAAATATTCAAAACAATCTCATAATCTCATTTAACACAGTTTTAATTTTTCAATGTAAATTATTAAATTTGATTGGTAACAGCCTTGTCTTATTATTTTAATTGAATGTATTGATAAAATGTAAGAATTTGAAATGAAATTTAGAGCATACCAGTACATTAAATAAAATTAGGGGGAAAATGCCCTTTATAAAGGTACAAAAAATTATTCCGATAAGAGTGTTTTCAAAAATGAAACATTGACAATTTAAGTTTAAAGGTATTTAAGTTTAAGTTTAAAGGCTAAAGCCTCTGTTTAGGCTATAAAGGAAATGTAATTTTGCCAAAAGAAGAACTTTTAATTTAAATAAATGTTAATTTTAAATCAGCCTACTTCAGTGTGATATGTTACCATATTATCATGCTTAATTGAATAATTGTAATGTGATGATCAGATGCAGATATCTAAATCAAAGAATATGGGTGGTTGGCGGGTGGATTATTTTTTATTTTTAACAACAGATTCGAGTGACTCAAAGTGCACCAGATTAATGAATTTATCTTTAAAATGTACAAATTTTTCTCACGGGGGGCAGGACCCCGGACCCCGATTTTACCACCTCCGCCTCATTTTGAGCCAGGAAAAACCCTTTATTGGCTATTGTTAAAAGGAGATCTGTGTTTTATGTTGTTGGAAAAGGGAAAGAGAATCAGTCCTGTACATGACTGTTTTAGGCCTGTAATTGATTGATTATTGAGGTAATGAATAGTAGTAGGTCTGTAATTTGTGTGAAAATATTTTTGAAGAATTGAAGGATGACTGTTGTCATAATAATTGGTATGCTAGTTGCACTTACCATTTTGATTTGAAATAGCCTATGTTTTAAAAGGGAAAATGAAACAGTACATTATTGGCTTAGGCCTGTAATTGACTGATTAGTGTGTTTATATATGAGTAATAAGCCTGTGGATATATACTTAACAATGTTATATTACTGTTGAAAATGTTGAATTATAGTTGACAGTTTGTATAGTTATATACTATTTGTATAGTTAAATAAATATTTTCCTAGTGACTAACAGGCAACAAAGAATGTCAAAGTAGAACTACATTGTGGCCTTGTTTTTTCATAATTTTCTGCAAGTGGTAGATCTTGGTTTACATTTGGACTTGGGATGTGATCTTAGGCTTGAAAAGGTTGGTGACCACTGCTCTAAATATTCGAAGTGCAAACAGAGACCATAGCCGCAAATAAACAGTCCAGAGATGGGTATTGGGAGACGGACAATGAAGCCTAATTTGTGCGCAATGCACATTAGGGAGCTTGTGTTTTACTTTCAAATTGGTGATCGCGCGTGTATAGGGAGCAGCGGTGCTGAACGTGCATTTTTACAAGATAAGACATTTATCAGACGTTTAGTCTATGTTGCGCAATGAATCCTCCGCCATCGTCACGCGAACAGTGAACTGTGATTCGTGCTGCACTGATTGCAACGGCAACTCGTGCTGGATGAGCAGAGCAGACTTTTACATTCGTTTATAATGGTTATTATTTATTATAAAAACAGCAAAACGATAGTTTAGGCGAATGTGAGTGTACAGTAGCGGTGGAATATTGTATTGTAATCTCACCCTCACGCTCAGTCATGGCGAGATCGGGAGACAGCTTTTCACTCAACGGGAAATCTCGTCATATTTTAGTCTCGCTATGAAACAGTGAAACATTTTTTTTAGGATTCATTTGATATTTCAAAAGAACAGCATTTAGTTGAAACAGAAATCTTTTTGTAACATTATAAATGTTTAAAAGAAAACTGTAAAACGGTCACTTTTGATCAATTTACTGCATCCTTGCTGAATATAAGTATTAATTTCTTTTTTTAAATCATACTCACCCCAAACTTTATACTTGAGAGGCAACAAGTTAATTTTGAACACTGTCATTAACTAAGAATCTATAATTTCATCATAAGCTTGACTCTCTGATGGATAGTCGCTGAAAAATACAGACGTCAAACAATGTGTTTTCTGTCAGAGAAGTGCATGAGGAAGAGTAACATGCCATCCAGCTCCTGTACACAAGACAAACAGATGGTGTTACTGAGAGTCATCCATCTTATACTGTAAGAGCCGCCTGCGAACACAACCTCAGTACAAAAGGATCAAATCGTTCAGAAAAAAAGTGACATTAGACAATAATGTTACAAAATAATAACGAACACAACTATGACAGCACCGTCACACCAAACAAAAGCCAACCAGTGAAAAGAACCATACACTGTGTGCCAAAACAATAGCACTCAATTATTTAAAATACTTCTAGCATCCATCTTCTTTTTGTGGTTTAAGACAAGCATTCAGCGGTGTATTGATTTCCCAAAAGATCTAGAAGTCTGGCAACATTCAGAGGAATACAAAGCAGGTCTAAGGATTGTTCAGAAGTGCATTTGCTAGCTTTTAGGGGATGTCTAATGCTATTTTAATGCATTCTGACTTATTTACACGATTAAAGAGTTAGATTCTCATGCTAAACATGGCCAAAGTTTCAAACAAACGAGTTGGACGCATGACGGAGTATTTCTGTGCCAATTATGGGTGTAACGTCCATAAACAATCAGTGAAAGGCTCACTCTATAACATGTCACGGTAAAATACCAAGTGTTACGTTATTCTCATGATGTCTGAAAATAAATCACTCAGTCAAACTGACGGATCAGCTTTATTTGTAGCCTGGGAAAACCCAGACAACTTCCGGCAAATTTAGATTTGCTCTGAAAGTTAGTCTGGCAAAGAGCTCATTCAAGCCCATTTCCAATCCGCCGAAATCGAGGCACCAATCAGAAACGTTGGGGCGGGCTTTACACGATGACGACAGCGCTGGGATTTTGAAGCAGATTTTGTAGCCTACATTACAAAGATGGATGCCGCCGTCGAACATCACTCGTTCCAATCAGCTATCGCGTCTGTTTTAAGCCATTTGAACGTTTCCTTTTAGTTAAAAACCGAGCAAAGAACAACACTCGGAGATGTTTCTCCGCCGCTCTGCATACGTCATCTCCTTCATCGCTCTGATTTAGGGCTGCAGCTATCGATTCTTTTTGTAATCGATTAATCTAGCTAGGGCTGCAACAACTAATCGATAAAATCGATAATAATCGATTATGAAAATCGTTGTCAACGAATGTCATTATCGATTAGTTGGTCTGCTTACGTCACGGGGAGCGTTTACTGGTGATTGGTTGAAACAGGCCAATCAGGATGCTCTCTGTCTTACACGCGCTTCATGAGGCACACACGCAAGGTCTCTCTCCCTCCGTCGCTCTGCCGCGCGCTCGCGCTACACGGTTTGGAGCACAGTCTCTTCTGTCTCGCATGCGCGCTCAAATCCCGGGAGTTTGAACTAATTTGCGGGCATCAGGGAGCCGCATAAGCCGCTATCAATATGCGGGTGACTCCCAGAACTTCCGGGAGACTTGGGATGTCTGTATTTTGTCTCGAGCATCAGGTTGCGCAATCAGTTCGCTCGCAACATAAGTGATGGATTAAAATAGTGCTACCGCAGAAATATTAAATTAAAACGGTCTTTACAAAGCGAAGCACTGAATATAAAGGCAGTTAATAACAGCAGCAGTAAAAGATTGTTTTAGTTACTGTACTCAGTGGTTTTCAGCGAATGTTTGGGCACTAATGCATCATTTTTCCTTTAAGGCGAGACACTACAGGTGAATAGGCTAAAAAATTTAACTTACAGATATCACCATGAAACTTTACCAGTTGATTACTCACATGAATTGGAGAAAAAAATGTATTGCAAGTTTTTTGTAATTTTTTGTTTAAATATGCTAATCAGGCTATATCTAATTAAATATGCGCTAATTTGCCTATATTTTGAAGTGACGTTTTTTGAAGATGAAAAAAACAAGGTTCAAAATTATTGTTGCATTTTGTTGATATATTCAAGGAAAAGACATTTTCAGAGGGGATTATGAATATCTCCTTTTGTTACCCTGTAAATCAGAAAATACTGCCAATAGTCTTAAAAAATTGATTTCCGCCCTATTTTTAGGCATAAAATGTCATATAAATCAGGCCAAAAATTATATATCAACAAATCCCTCTGAACAAACCTTCACAATATAGTTAGGAATAGGACTGTAAAGTTTGGTGTATGTAGGTGCTACTGAAGTGGAAAATCGTCACTAGGAGTGTGAGAAAAAACTCATTTTGAGAAAACGGCCTTTAAAGATTTGTATGGCAAAATTCCACTAATTTCTATTGAAAGCCATGAATTACAGACAAAATATGCTTTAGGTCCAAGTAAAATCAATGTATCACACTGTTTAACATCCAAAACTCATCATTGCTTCATCCATCACTGATCATAACATCCAAAACAACACTTCAACAGTCCATCACACAGGTGAATATGTTTCTGCCTGAGGAACTCACAACCACTTTAGGATCCCACAATTACAGATTTGGTAAGTATTATATAGTAATTATATTATACAAAAACTGAAATGTGTTGTGTAATGTAATTGTTTTGTATATATAGCGTGTAAAGTATAGTATTATGTGATGCATGTATATAATGTCAGAGCGCGTCACGTGATGATTCTGAACGAATCACGTTGTCAGAAATTGACATCAGCCAATGAGATGTGCATTTCGAGTTAAATCGCTGGTTTTACTTTCAAGATTGGTTGCTGATAAACAGGAAATGACCATATTTGGATCAGATAGCGTTGCAAAGGAGAGAGAGAGCTTTCTAACGGTGTGTGTGATGACAGGGTGCAGATCGCGACCGCGGAGCAGAGGGATGATTTAGAACGCCAACTTTTGATGAATTTATGTGAAATCTACACACGCAAACAGACAAAGTGTAGTAAAATAAATACCTAAATGTGTATTTTGGACTTTTTTTCAGCACAAGTCTGAAAGAAGACATGTTATTGAAGACAAATAGCCCAAAATCTCAAAATTGACCAATGAAAAAAAAACGATGTTTTTGCCTGCCGTGTCTCGCCTTAATCAAGCCTGTTAACTTGCTGCGTACCTCCATTACGTTCTCTATTTACAGCATTTGTCTACTATTAAGTTTTAATTGTTTTTCAAACGCGATCTACTGCAGCTCTACGTTCACACGCTTGTTTTCAGTCTTTCTATATTTATTTTATCAATGTATCCTTATAATTCAATTAATTTTAAATAAAAATTAAATGAATTATATATTTTAGATGTTTTTAGTTTACATCTTCACATCTGAACAACATGTCTGTGTAAATTTGTTTTAACAAAAATTGTGTTAAAACAATATGTTGGATATAAATGTTTTGTTTTGTTTTTTTTTACATTAATCATGGTTGTCAACTTGCCATCAGCAATTATCATTAAAAACAATGCAAATATTGATATTACTAAAACTCAATGTGTGGCTTTTGCACTTTTTAAAGTACACTTTTACACATAAATATCCTGATTTAGGGTTTTAGGTAACACTTTATTTTACTGTGTCCTTGTTACATATGTTACATGTACTTACTGTAGTAATAACAGTAAATTATGCATAATTACATGCAACTAACCCTCAACCTAATCCTACCCTATTCCTATAGTAAGTACATGTAGTTACTTAATATTACTCTGTACTTAAATATATAATTACACTGTAACAAGGACACCTTAAAATAAAGTGTAACCGGGTTTTATTTAGTCAATAAACAAAAAAATCGAATTGAATTTTCTATCTGATTAATCGATTAATCGAAAAATAATCGTCCGATTAATCGTTTATCAAAATAATCGTTAGTTGCAGCCCTAAATCTAGCACTTAATCGATCGATTAATCGAGTAATTGGATAAAACATTTGTTGTGTTTTTAAACAACCAAAACAAATAATGCATAACGAAAATGATGTGGCTGTAAAATGATCAAACATTTGGCTTTTGTTTATCAAAAAACAAACAAAAAAAACCTGCTATTTATTCCAACTCCAACATTTGGCTCCAAAACTAAGCCTATTTATTGCAATTTTTACCCATTTAGTATAAGTGCCAACAATGTTCTATGCTCAATTACTTTGGTAGCCGATTAAAATGTCTTCCCCAAAAGTACGAGTGGATTTGGAGAAGCAGACTGGGGAATTTCATTTTTTGTTGTTGTCTGTAACTATTTGGAAGACGTGACATACAAACAAGGTCTCCCAAAGACTGCAATACAATATTTGTTCCTCCATCACGTCGCGGTGTATACAGTGAATGCATGCTGAAATTATTGTTGCATGGCTACATTAAAGTTTAAGCATATTTGATGCATTGCCGCAATTGATCTGACTGGCGC